CTCTGTTCAGTCAACATCTTGGCTTAATGAATAATGTTCAAGGGACAGCCTTGTCAAACAATGACTTTCTTTAAACAGAATTATGGCCACAAACAGAAGAGATTCTTACATCCTAGGAGAGTACAGACGGACTCAGGTTCTTTTGAGGTGATGGGAAGCCAGTGGCTATTCCAACTTTCTCCAAGCCAGATGAGAGGTTATGGGGCCATGAAATGTCTTCAGGAGGTGCTTCCCCTATAATTTCTCCACCAAACTGGGCTGAGCCAGGGCAAGGCTGCCTCCTGAGGTTGGTGAATTCTTGGTGAATTCCCTGAGACCTCCAAATGTTATAGGCAAAGTGCAAGAAAGAAGTCACCAACATGCAGAAAGTCGAATTTGAGTTCTTTATTAGCCGGTGGTGGTCAAGAGCAGACTAGTGCCATAAAGAACTCTCAACCCTAAACAGAGTGAGCAGGGGGTTTATAAAGGCAAAAACCACAAAAGCTGTACAATTATGATTACATTTTTGGCAGAACATTTGGTTGCAAAGGGTACAGATGTTATGGAATTTGCAATTAGGGAGTTTCCAGGCACCAAGGGGAATAAGAATGTGACTTGTGATTACAGGAAGATTACACAGAAAGTCATCTCTGGGTTAAGACGGAGGATTTGTTAGAAAATGGAGTTACTTATGTCAAGCAAGCTATTACAGGCTATTATAGGTTTTTAAAGCTATTACAACATTAGATACAGAAAAAACTTTTGATAAAATCCAGCATCCCTTCTTGATAAAAACTCCCAAATACCTAGGTATAGAAGGAACATACCTCAAAGTAGAAGTGCCATCTGTGATAAACCCACAGCTAACATATATTGTGAAATGGACAGAAACTGGAAACATTTCCTCTGAAAACTGGAACAAAACAGGACTGCCCACTCTCACCACTCTTGCTCAACATTGTGTTGGAAGTCCTAGCTAGGGCAATTAGACAAGAGAAGGAAATCAGGAGTATCCAAATTGGAAAAGAGGAAGTCAAGTTATCCCTCTTTGCTGATGATATGATCCTATACCTTGAAAATCCAAGAGAATCTGTCAAAAACCTGCTTGCACTGATAAAAGATTTTAGCAAAGTCTCGGGGTACAAAATGAATGTGCAAAAGACAGTTGCATTCTTATACACCAACAACAAACAAGTGGAGAACCAAATAAAAAGCACAATCCCATGCCCCACAGCCCCCTGAAAAATGAAATTCCTTGGCATCTTCCTAACCAGAGAAGTAAAAGACCTTTACAATGAGAACCACAAAACACTGCTCAAAGAAATCCAAGAAGACACCAACAAATGGAAAAATATTCCATGATCATGGATAGGAAGGATCAACATTGTTAAGATGTCCATCCTATCTAAGGCAATCTACAGATTCAACGCAATACCTATTAAATTATCAACATCATTCTTCTCAGACCTGGAAATGACAATACAGAAATTCAAACGGAAACATAAATGACCACAAATAGCCAAACCAATCCTTAGCAAGAGAAACAAAGCAGGAGGTATCACACTTCCAGACTTCAAACTTCATTATAAAGCTACAGTCATCAAAACAGCCTGGAATTGGTACAAGAACAGGAATATAGACCAATGGAACGGGATAGAGATTCTGGAAGCAAAGCCTCAATTCTTCAACCAACTCATCTTTGACAAAGCCTCCGATAACAACCACTGGGGAGAGGAGAACCTATTCAGTAAATGATGCTGGGAAAACTGGCTGACTACATGCAGAAGATTGAAACAAGACCCCCTACCTATCACCATACACAAAAATTAACTCTAAATGAATCAAAGACCTAAACATAAAACCTCAAACTATAACAATCCTATAAAATGCAGGAGACACCCTTATGGAAATTGGAACTGGCAACCAATTCCTGATCAAAGCCCTAAGTGCCCATAACATAAGAAATAAGATAGACAAGTGGGGCCTCATCAAACTGATGAGCTTCTGAAAAGCAAAAGAAAACATCAAGAGAGCAGGGAGACAGCCCACAGAATGGGAAAAAATATTTGCCAGCTGTATATCTGGCAAAGGCCTAACATCTAGGATCTTCAAGGAACTCAAACACACCAAAAAGAAAAAAAACAAACAGCGCCATTAAAAAGTGGGCAAAAGCCGGACTCAGTGGCTCAGCCTGTAATCCCAGTACTTTGGGAGGCTGAGGTGAGTGGATTGCCTGAGCCTGCGGGTTTGAGACCCACCTGGGCAACTTGGCGAGACCTCATCTCTACAATAAGTCAAAAATTAGCTGGGCGTGGTAGCGCATACCTGTAGTTCCAGCTACTTGGAAAGCTGAGGCGGAAGGATCGCTAGAGCCCAGCAGGTCGAGGTTACAGTGGCCGGGAGTGGCCACTGCACTCCAGTCTGGGTGACAGAGTGAAACTTCAACTCAAAAAAAAAAAATTGGCAAAAGACATGAATAGACACTTCTCAGAAGAAGATATACAGGCAGCCAACAGACACATGAAATAGTGTTCAGACTCACTCATCATCAGAGAAATGCAAATCAAAACCACATTGAGATACCACCTAACCCCAGTAAGAATGACCATCATTAACAAAACAAACAACAGATGCTGGTGAGGATAAAAAGGAACATGTCTACACTGCTCGTGGGAATGCAAACTAGTGCAACCTCTTTGGAAGACAGTGTGGTGATTTCTGAAAGAACTAGAAATTTGCCTTCCATATGACCCAGCAATCCCCCTACTGGGAGTATACGCAGAGGAAGGCAAATCATTCTACAAAAAAAGATACCTGCTCACGTTTGTTGCAGCTCTGTTCACAATAACAAAAACATGGAACCAACCATGCTGCCCATCGAAGCTGGACTGGATTTTAAAAATGTGGTACAGCCAGGCTTGGTGGCTCAGCCTGTAATCCCGTGCCTTTGGGAGACTGAGGTGAGTGGATTGCCTGAGCCCGCGTGTTCGAGACCCGCCTTGGCAAGACCTCATCTCTACAATAAAAATCAAAAATTAACCGGGCGTGGTAGCGCGCACCTGTAGTTCTAGCTACTTGGAAGGCTGAGGCAGAAGGATCGCCGGAGCCCAGCAGGTCGAGGCTGCAGTGGCCGG